GAAAGTTCATATCTCTTAGATCATATATGTCAAATTTTGTTAAAATTGAACAACAACTTGAAGGTAATCAAAGTGTTCATATTTTAGTATATTTTAAAATGTATATATTACGTCAATTTTGTTTTATGAGAATGAAGTATCAAATCATCTTAGATTAATATAAAATTTGATATATATGATCTAAGAGATATGAATTTTCAATCTAACGGTTGGATTTAAAAAATTCACATTTAATATAAAGTTATTGAGCGGTGTAACACTTAGTTAAAGTTACACCGGTGTCGTTTGAACCCTCCTCATATATATATCAATAACTTTATATTAAATATGAATTTTATAAATCTAACCGTTAGATTGAAAGTTCATATCACTTTATATGTGTATATCAAATTTTGTTAAAATTGAACAACAATTTGAAGGTGATCAAAGTGATCATATTTTAGTATATTTTGAAATGAATATATCACGTCAATTTTGTTTTATAAAAATGAAGTATCAAATCATCTTGGATTAATATGAAATTTTAAATTTATATATATATATATATATAACGACATTTGTGTAACTTTTACTAAGTGTTACACCACTCAATAACTTTATATTAAATGTGAATTTTGTAAATCCAACCGTTAGATTGAAAATTCATATAACTTTATATGTGTATATCAAATTTTGTTAAAATTGAACAATAACTTGAAGTTACACTGATGTTATTTGAACTCTCCTCTATATATATATATATATATATATATATACAATAACTTGAAGTTACACTGATGTTATTTGAACTCTCCTCTATATATATATATATATATATATATATATATGAACTTAAAAGATCTACTATAACCATAGTTATCAATAATGGCCATAGCGGTCGCGATAATGATGCAGAGTAAAGTGACTTTGTGCCGCTACAGATAACTTGATGCGAAGCGATTGTAAAAGCGACAAAGCAAGACAACGATCATGAGTTAGACGATAGGTTTTCCCTTCTTCTCACAGATTTCTTATAGACATATCTTCTTCTCTAATAAATCTATCTTTTTCTACGACAGATCTCTACGAATTTATCTTCTTCGTCGTAACAGTTTTGTCTTCTTCAACAGATCATCTACAAATTTGTCTACTAAGAAGCGAGAGACGATGACTAAAAAAGTTGGGACAGTGGACCAAATTTATTTTCTCTTTTGGTTTGGTTGACTTAATTTAGGTGATATTTATTTTTACTTCTCTATTGTTTTTAGATAGTAACTTCTCTTTATTTTAAATCATTATAATTCAAAAACTATTTGAAGTAATAAAAAAAAATTAATAAAAGACCTTAAACATTTTGATTTCTTAATTTTCTTTTTTAATTTTTTTAACTACTATAAATTTTTATTATTGAAAATAAATAAAACTATAGAAAATAAAATAATAAAAAAAGTATTTTAGTAAAAAAAAAGCTATATAGCAGGGAATTTTGAGAAACACATGAAACCTGATACAAAGAACACCCAAGGTGCATCTAGAGGCAAGCACAAACCCAAAACCAACTAAACAACAAGTTAAATAATATCAGACTCCATTGCGACTATAACAAAGGACGAAACAATTGACCTATAAGATAACATCAACAGTTTATAGATATCAAAATGTAAGTAAAACAGTAGAGAAAACGCCCCCTCACAAATGACACATGAAACCAGCTACAAGGTGCATGTAGATGCCACAGACCCAAAACCAACTACAACATGATGAACAAGACCCGACTCTATCACAACTATAATAAAGGCCAAGACAATTGAAACATTAGATTCACGCACAAACTACTTATCTATGTTCAAACTGGAAAAGTAGTTTGCCCCAATGCAAAAAAGAGCAGAGAAGAGGTGTAAAACAAGTTGTTCTGCCAGGAGAGAGAGAGAGCATATGTAAGCCCTTCAAATGAAGAACATTATGTTTTCCACATCAGCATGCAACTTGGAAAATCCCGGATCATTTAAGCTTGAGCCTGCTGAAGAAACTGACGTACAAGTAGCCGCCGATGATGAAGATACAGCTGAACCAGGAGATTGCATTTGATTCATTGCTTCATAGTATAACCGTCCCCTATATGCAGTAAGATCAGCGTAGTACACTGGTGGGACTAAAGATACAGGCTTAGTGCACCTAGCGAAGGTAAAGCACATGTCATATATGAGTTTCTGCAACGCATCAGAGGTGAAGTTTTGCTCGTCCCACAAGACATGATAGTGCGTTGGCTTGCTTGTACCCAGGCTTCCATAGTGACTACAAAGGTAAAAGTCAAATTCGAAAGGGTGTACCACTTTTGTGTCCACAACTGTTCCAGGGAACACATTGCCATTAGGAATCCCGTCCCTCGGATTCATGGGAAAAAATCGAGTTTGATGTCGCTTTTGAGCGACAATAAGAGTGATACTTGGGAAATAATTTGCCTCACCAAACACTGCTTTCAAATCTTGCAACTCCTCCGTGAGGACCATGTGAAATTGGCTTTCACTAACGCCATCACGAAAGATAACAATTTTTTCAGGTCTGACTTTGTTCAGCCTATCATAATATGAAACAAGTTCATGGCAAATTCTCCCAAAATTCAAAATTTTCTCAACCCGATGACCTTGAGCACAAACACGAGCTGCATAACGATTCGCAGCAGGCCAGTTGACAGTGGCAACCACTGCAGCAATTGATGGACTGTTGGTGTCGCGGGAAGCTGGATGATTGACATCAGCTCCTATGAACATAACATGCCCTTCACCTTCAAAGTGTGGGAGCCTGTTGATGAGCTCTACATTACTTCCTCCAATTTTGGCATTAATTTTGAGGGCAAGATTTGTAAAATATTGGTCCTTCCCTTCATTAGCATTAACAGACAAGCAGCATTGTGTCACTATGCCAATCTTGGTCTCAGCAATCCATTTGAGGCACTTGTAACCCTGATGTTTGCTGGACATCACACAAAGAAGAAACTGGAGCCGTTGGCAATCTTTTTTTTGATTATCATCAATATTTTCCAGTAAACTATACAGCTGACGATAATCATCAAGATTCCACATACTAGCTTGTTTACGCACAACTGGCTCCTTCATGACAATGCCCAATTTACTGTATTTTTCAATAAGCTTGTTAACAATTTGTATGTGTTTTAATCTGTACCGACCAGACTCCTTGCTGGTAAAATCAAGAATGCCCCAGTGAGTAACTGGCTTTCCTTCCACCATTGACCTTCCCACTAGATTCCACTGACATTTGTCAACTTCCAGCGTCATACTAACAATCTCACCATTTGGAGTACTTAACTTCAATTGTGGGGGCTGAATTACACGTCCTGTCACGTTCGTCATTGAAGTGTTGACACTCATTCCAAAATTTTGAATAATATTACCTCTGTCAAAATAAATTTTGTGAGGCCTTTGTTAACAAATTAAGAAATATGGAGCAGAGAAAAAACATGGTAAAGCATATATACAAGGATCGACAAGAAATTAAAAGATAAGTTACATAAGAATGAAATCAATATTCAAATAGTGACCTAATTCCATTTTCAATTCTAGTTCTATACATGTAGAAAGTTATTGTCAAATATAAATCAATTTGCATTTATGGAACCATGACAGTTTATTTTAAACACAATCAAGTCAAACAAATATGGAGAGAATGCACTTATGCATGGGACATTGGAGGATGTTGTTTGTGTTAAAAGCTATGCAGTCCTTTAAGAACAATCCCCTAATAGGGCTAATATTTAGTTGATTTCACCTTAAGTAAATAGAATGAAACGGCTTTTCAAAAGTAACCTCGTTGAACTGTACAAAGCAAGTTAGAGGGGAAAAACGAAAAAAACAGAGAAAAGACAATATACCAGAAATACTCCATACTTATATTAATCAAATTAAGGTTTCATGCAAGCAGCTAATTATCCAACTTTATCCTTCGATCAACAGTAACTAAGAACCAAGGAAACGCAACATTGCAAGTTCAACAAAACATACACATCCAATAATGAATAATATGTTCAAAATATATGCCCGGCAAGGTAAAATTTTTACTTATGGTACCACAACAGTTGACAAATTAGTATACAGATTAGGAAAAAGTGCACAACATAAAAATTATTTGAATTCATGCAAATGCAACATTGATTGCAATAAAGAGTAATCAAAAGCTACAAGTATCAAGACATGCTCATGAAATTAAATTTCCCTTACCCGCATGGTCCTTCATTTGACTCCACCATAGTCTGGATTGTATCTCGCCTCTCTCTTGGGGAAACCACTGACATGTCTTTCAAATCCTTGGCAGCATATCTGTCCAAATTCTCTTTGGGATATCTTTGACCCTGAACCAAGACACACAACTCCATAGGAACATAATTAGTCTTGTTGCCCCCAAAATCCAAGGCAGGAATGTCCTTTAATTGAATGTCCACATGATATCTCTCCTGGAAGTAATTAAGAAGACCAGCTTCACTTGTTCTTCGGCCCTCAGAGTCATAAATAGGAAATGTGGTGTACCTTGTAGTTTTGGGTGTCAACTTGGCAATAGTGTACTTTTGCTTCGTCCTCCGGTGGGTAACATTAACTTTCAACCCAACAAGTACATGCTCAACCTGTCTCTTGAATCGCCCAAAATCATTCAAATCAAAGTCTTGAATTTGATAATGTAGAAAATCCAACACCGACATTTTCTCCCGAAATGACAAAACGGAATAGTCAATGCACAGGGACAAGCCCTGAGAAGTGGGTTTAAGACTCTGTTGAAAGCCTCCTATTGCAACTATCCCTCGTCCGAGATCCTTCTTCCTCAAGGGAGGGTCTATGGGAAAGAAGCAGCGCCCCACGGGAGTACACTGATTCGTGGGATTCTCCTTCACCACCAAATCCAAACCCTGCAAAATATCTCTAGGAATCGAAAGCACACTTCCACTAAGGTAATCCCTCAACTTCCGAAGCTCAAGCCTGTTGACCAGCGTCAGAGTGACCAAATACGAAACACTCCTCTCGTCCTCTAGGTCCACGGCAAAGGTTTCTTCCGGCAACGGCACCGCGCTGAAGATGCTCTTCTCACCGTCGTAGGACGTCTTCTGTGACGGAAGCGAGGGATCCTCAAACAGCTTCTTCCGAATCAACGACAAATCCGACTTGGAAATCTTCTGAGTGCGATTGTTCTTAGGAGGAGCATTGACCTTCACATCCACATGATAGTGCATTATTACGCTCTGTGGATTGAACTTAACAGCGAAGTGGTTCACACGGAGGTTGCATTTTCGAACCGCCATCGTTCCACCCTTGTCAGGCCTGTGCACAGGTGAGATATTACCTACTGTTGTTTGATTTGATTTCTTCAGAGGTCCACTATCTATAATAAATTAAATTAAATTAAATTAAACAATTATCATTCAACATTGACATTATTGCATTTCAGCGTTTGATAACAATGGCGAGAAAATCATTAAATACCTGAATGAGTTTGAGCAAGAGAATGGCCATGGCTAGGTTTTGAAGGTCCACCAGAAGAAGAGGGATTTGACGCTGGTTGCCACTGCTGCTTCGGTTGCGGTTGCGGTTGCGGTTGGCGTTGCGGCGGAGGAAAACCTCTACCACCGCGGCCACCGGATTGGGGAAACCCTCCTCTTACGGCGTCAAATTCACTGTAACCACGACCGCGACGACCTCCATTACGGCCTCCATTACCGTCACGGTTACCGTGACTGTAACGGCCTCTGCCTCTGTAACCACCTCTTTCCATTGGGAATAGGAATTGGAGAAACCGGGAGCGGAAAAACTGCACAAAGCAAAACTGAGAAAAGCAGTAACACGCTAATTGCAGTGACCGTAAGGGTAGGGGTCAATTTAAAGAAATGTTTATTGCGAAATTACGGGGTTGCCCTTGAGTTGGCTTACGAAGTGAGTATAGTGTTTTTCCGGGTAATACAAGAGAAAATGAGAGGAAAGAACGGTGGTTTCGAGAAGGATTTTGTGGTTGACTCTTTTGTTTTTGTCGGTCAAACTAACTTGACTGATATCCCAATAGTGTTTTATAATATATTGCTTAAAGAATATGAATGTCATTTACTCTGTGTATGTCCGAATATTATTCTGGAATCAGCACATAGATAAGTGAACACACCCTTCCTTCGTCCTTAAGATCTCAAATGTTTAAATTCCTACTACTTTTACTTTAATATTTGCGAGAATATGTAAAAAAAAAAAAAAAAATATTTTCAAAAAATATTTTTTTAATTATGAAGATATTTTTTAGATTTTTTTTAAAATTAAAATAAATATTACAAAAATTAGATGCCTATGAAATAAAGAATGCACGAGAATCTTAAATTTTTTAGTTTTTTAAGAAAAATTACCATTATAAAATTTTAGTCTGATTTAAAATCTTGAAAAATGGAGGAAGGGATGTATGAGTGTTTGAAAAAAAAATTCGAACGTTAGAGATAAGAGACATAATGTTCTAAAAAATTCTCTACAAGTAAAAAAAAAACACTTCTAAAAACTATTTTCTATAATTATAAAAATATTCCATAAAAAAAATAATATAAAAATATTCTTTTCAAAATCTTTTTTCAAAATACTAAAATTAATGTCAAGAAAACCACATGTGTGTGAAAAGAATGATGTGGGAGAATCTTAAAATTCTGTTTTGAAAGAAAAAAAAATATAATTATAAAGTTTTATTCTGTTTTGAAATTTGAAATAGTGAAGAAAACAAATGCATTGAAAGGAGTAAGTGCGTGCTTGAAAAAAAAAAGTTGAACATTAAAGGAAAATGAAACGTAAATGTAAATTGAACATTGAAAGCATGAAGGCTAGAAGTTTGTTATTTAGTATTCTGGAAAATATTTTTTAAAATATATGTAAAAAGAATATTTGAAAAGTACTTTTCATAATTATGAAAATATTCTTGTAAAAGTTTTTTTCAAAATACTAAAATTAATGGTACAAAAAATAGATGTGAAAAGGTGTGTCAGAATCTTAAAATTTTATGTTTTGGAAGAAAAATTATGAAGATGTATTAGATTAGAAATGAATTTTAAAAGAGTTTTTTATTATAAAAAAATTCTTGTGTTATTCAATCTAAGACTTTTTTTTAATATAAATAAGTCATATGGTATTCAATCAAGACAATCTTATTTTTTTTTTAAGAATCCATCTAAATCTGGTACTATTCAATTAAGATAATTAGAATTTTTTTAAGAATACGTTAAAATCTAATGATATTTAATTAAGACTTTTTTTTACAAAAAAAAATTATTAGTATTAAGGATGGAAATAGGTCAGGTCTTAAATAGGGGCCTATGACGTGACCTCTTTAAAGTCTGGTCTGGTATGACCCAACCTATTTAATAAAAAGGTTAGGCTTAGATTTTTAAAAAAGCCTATTTATATAAAAATGTCGGACTTAGACTTATAGAAAATTTGGTTAGACTTGATAGATCAACCTATTTATTTAAGAGTTAATCACTTATACACTATCAGTGAAAAGTTTTTTTTATATTGACAACCAATTATATATTTTAATTGTGCCATAATTAGTTGACAATGTATAGGTGATCGAATATTTAATTAAATAATATAATAATAAGTATATATATATATATATATATTATTAAAAATATAAATAAACAAATAAATTTATAAAATAAAAATAAATTATTAATATTTAAAATATTTTTTATACAATTATTATTTTTCTTTATAAGTTTATAAACTTATGATTTTTTTAAAATATTAAAATTAATATTACAAAAATTGGATACATATGAAATAAAGAATGCATGAGAATCTTAAAATTTTAAGTTTTTTTTTTTAAAAAAAATTACGATTATAAAATTTTAGCCTGTTTTAAACTCTTGAAATATGGAGGAAGGGATGTATGAGTGTTTGGAAGAAAAAAATTCGATCGTTACAGGTAAGAGACAAGAAGGTTTCTTCTTTAATGTTTTGAAAAAAAATTCTATACAAGTAAAAAAAACACTTCTGAAAAATATTTTCTACAATTATTAAAATATTTTTTTTGAAATATCTTTTCAAAATACTAAAATTAATGTCAAGGAAACTACATGTGTGTGAAAATAATGATGTGGAAGAATCTTAAAAATTTTTGTTTTGAAAGAAAAAAATATAATTATAAAATTTTATTCTTTTTTGAAATTTAAAAAAGTGAAGAAAACATGTACATTGAAAGGAATAAGTGCATGCTTGAAAAAAAAATTGAATGTTAAAGGCAAAAGAAAGGAAAATGAAACGTAAATGTAAATTGAACATTGAAAGCATGAAGGTAAGGGGTTTGTTATTTAGTATTCTGGAAAGTATTTTTTAAAAATATGTAAAAAAGAAAAATATCTGAAAAGTACTTTCATAATTATGAAAATATTCTTTTAGAAAGTTTTTTTAAAACACTAAAATTAATGTTACGAAAACTAGATGTGAAAAGATGGTTCATAATCTTAAAATTCTATATTTTGGAAGAAAAATTACGAAAGTGTATTAGATTAGAAATGAATCTTAAAAAAGTTTTTTATTATAAAAAAATATTTTATGTTATTCAATCAAGACCTTTTTTTAATATAAATAAGTCATTTAGTATTCAATCAACATAATCATAATTTTTTTAAAGAATCCATCTAAATCTAGTAGTATTCAATTAAGATAATCAGAATTTTTTAAGTGTACGTTAAAATCTAGTCATATTTAATTAAGCTTTTTTTTTACTTAAAAAAATTGTTGGTATTAGGGATGGAAATAGGTCATGTCTTAAATAGGAGCCTATGACTTGACCTCTTTAAAGTTTGGCCTGGTCTGTCCTAACCTATTTAATAAAAAGGTTAGGCTTAGGCTTTTAAAAAAGCTTATTTATATAAAAAGGTCAGACTTAGGCTTATAGAAAAATTTGTTAGGCTCAATAGATCAACCTATTTATTTAAATAATATAATAATAAAATTATATATTATTAAAAATATAAATAAACAAATAAATTTATAAAAAAAATAAATTATCAATATTTAAAATATATTTTATACAATTATGTTTTCTCATTATAGATTTATAAACTTTTATGATTTGTGCATGAGTGTACATTAACACCCATAATTACACATAAACTGTTCATTTAATAGAAAATTATTGTTAGATCAAAAATCTTATCTTTAAGAAAATAGACAATCCCTTAAGTTTTAATGTTGATAAACAAAAGGATTTTCTTTAAAGCAAAAGTCGACATCCTTATAACAAATCAGACAAAATGTGAAGATAATACATATCATTTGTAAGATGAAAGAAATCAGACGAAACATACAGTCCGTCTGACTTACACTAAATGAATAAGATTGACATTGCATTTGCTTTAATGTGTTATTCCTCAACAGATCAAACAAAAAGTGTAACACCCCAGTTTTCATACTTTTTATTAAGGGTGATTTAGTTATTTTCATAAAATTTATTAAGGGTGATTTAGTAGCCCAGAACGGACTGTTCCAAACTACTAAAAAAGACCTATTTTTGGTAGCCCAAAATGTAACACCTTAGTTTTTATTTCATTTTTATTTTATTTTATTGAGGGTATTTTGGTAATTTTATAAATGTATAGGGGTGATTTAGTAGCTTGGAACGGGTCGTTCCAAATTACCAAAATGAATGTGAGTTAGTAGCCCAGAACGGGCCGTTCTCAAGTTGGAAGGGGCCGTTCTGGACTATTAAAACTGCCTATAACCCTAAATGGGAACGGACTTGGAACGTGCCATTTCCAAAATATGGCCGTTGTGAGTAATAAATGCACACCAGAACGGGCCGTTCTTGTTTGAGAACAGGCCGTTCTGGATGTATTTTTTTACCCATGATTTAATAAGGGTCTAGAACGGGTCGTTCCGGCGAAGCCTGATGCCTATAAATTGAGCTCTCTGCCACTCTCAAAAAGCGCACCTCTCATTTTCTGATTTCTTTTCTTCTACTCTCTCTTCTTTCCCTCTACTTTCTACTTCAGACCGAGGGGAACCCAGCGAGGGAGACCAACCAAATCTTGTGTAGGTTCAGCTTCTACATATCAAGGTACGGGGGAAAGGGGAATTATTTATGTGTAGAGTTATATGAGAAATTGGGTAGAGGAGGAATCCCGTAGGATTAGGGATAATTTTATAATTATTTCTCTTTGAGAAATTGATGATCCCATTAGACTGTATATGTATTGAGGATTAGAAATATGCTAATAATTTGTAAGAATGATGATCAGGGAAAGACACTAGTACAAAATGGGTCTTTAACGTCGGATATTTTAAGGATTTTATGTCAAAAAAGCCTCCGACGTTAATACGGGAGACGTAAATTTACGTCGCCTATCACAGACGACATAAATTTACGTCGGAGATGTCCTGTGACCGACGTAAAAAAAGGCTTTAAAAGGGGAAAAAAGATGCAAGAATTTACGTCGGACTACACCATGTCCGACGTAAATTTACGTCGGCCAGTGCTAGGTCCGACAGTGTTACAGGGGAATTGTGACCTTGACACAGTGTTGTATCAGGGGTGAGCACGACCTTGGATTGTTAAATGGGTAGCGTGACCTTGGCATAATGTCAAGTGCAAGATTTGTGATGATTGGTGTGATTGAGAATTATGACGTGATGACGATGCATGATTGATTGAAATACGATATGTTGAAATATTTATCAATATTAAGTTATAATGAGATAATATGTTGTGTTTTCTTATGTGCTATATATATAGATATTTTCTTTTCTCACCGTACGATTTGTGGATGTTTTAGGTGAGGAAGATTCGACTTTGAGTGGCACCTAGAATGCCAATCGTTGAGTTGTGGGTGTGC